TTCCTCAACAAAAATGGAACTCGTAAGTTTACTTACCTCGTCATGGGTCATTTGAAAAATTATTTTGTTAAAATAAATTCTGATTGCACACATAAGTACTCTGAAGTTGACATCAAGAAGATGCTTGAGTTTCTGATTGACAGTATCTATGTGGTTTTTGGAGACCAGGTATTTCAACAATGTATTGGAATTCCCATGGGTACAAATTGCGCTCCGTTATTAGCAGACTTATTTTTATATTCATATGAAGCAGAATTTATGCAAAATCTTTTACGTGAAAAGAAGAAAACACTTGCTGTGGCCTTCAACTCGACATTTAGATATATAGACGACGTATTGTCAATTAATAATGATAATTTTCATTCCTACGTCGACACGGTATATCCTGGTGAGCTTGAGATAAATGATACCACTGAGTCCGACACTTCTGCTTCATACTTGGATATTTTACTTGAAAAAGACACTAATGGTAATCTAACAACAAAGCTATATGATAAACGTGATGACTTTAACTTTTCTATCGTCAACTTCCCTTACCTATGCAGCAATGTACCTTCATCACCTGCATACGGAGTATTTATAGCTCAGTTGATTCGATACGCAAGAGCATGCTTTTCGTATGAACAATTTCTTAAACGAGGTAAATTATTGACAAGCAAGTTGATGAAACAGGAATATCAACAGTCTCGTTTAAAGTCATCATTTCGTAAATTCTATGGTCGATACAATGACCTTGTCAGCAAATACAATTTATCATTGAATGAAATACTGACTGACGTTTTTCATACCAATTGTTAGTCCATTATTTATACACTGAATTGACCACGGATTTTTTCCCGTTATATCCTGATTATGACAACGAGCACACGGCGGGTGTGACCGGTCGGTAGAGGATGCTCACTCCTCCATGGCACCTGATCCCAACTCTGATGTTTCGGAGGTCCGTGTTTGCTCTGCTCTTATTTTGTATATTTGTTTAATGGACGTTGAGATTGAATACTGTTTGTTATTTCCATATCCTTCTTCATGAAGTAAATGTTTCAAATCTCGAAAGTACTTTAATCAAAACCCTATAAGCAAATTTTAAATACGAAATAAAAAATAAAATTTTTTATTTACATGTACATTGTTACCTATCAAAGAACCAAATCCATAAGCGGAACTGATCGGAATTTTAACCGTCTACCAACCACCATTCATAATGTTATAATTATTTAATGCAGATCAGGATAAGCTCCTAGCTTTTTTTTCAAAATATACACTATATAAGATATAAGATTTTTTAATGAATCAAAACTGTATTCTAGTATTTGCCACTAATAAAATATATTTTCTGTTTAAAAAAGAAACGAGACATACAGGTCATGATGGTCACCTGAGTACCTATTATACTGACCTGTCAGAGGGTCTCATTTTTGTATTTTAAGCTTCAATTTAGAGTCTAAGTCATAAATATGAAGACAGTAATTTAAAAGAAGGGAGGAGTGGGGATCTCAGGTTGTTTATATCCAAGCTCCAAAATTGTAAACTTTTGGTAAAAAGAGACCTGTAAGCCTTAGAACACATGTAGTAAGCTGATAAGGGGATACAAAATTTTAACTGTTGGTTAAAATTGTATCTGCTGATATTAAGGTCATTTCAAATTCCCAATTTTGTTCCCTCATCCAGACAGGACGGCATTGGTAATCTTGTACTTTCAAGTCGTACACTTCAGCTCGCTCTTCTTTTGTTGAAAAGGCTAAGTCTTGATCAAGTTACATGTAGTTTTGCTACATTTTTTTCTTCTTGTGCATACTGCATTCACTCTGTAATTCCATTCAGATTCGAAAAGTTTCTGAAAATCTTACAGGTAGATGAATGCATTCTCTCAATGGCTCATTTGTATTAGTTTGTAATTTTTAAATTCTATTCAGAAAAGAGTTCATTACTAACAAAATAAAAGCAGAACACCAACTGACTGCTACCCATTCGGGGTTAGGACACCAGTGTGTTTGTTTTTATCTTGAGTGCATGTACAGTGGTGAAACATAGCATACAGACAAAATCAGGCTCAAAATTGTCCAAAGTAACAATGATTGGCACCAAGTTTTCTTTTAAATAGAAAGAAATTAATGGAACGTGTGTTGATGTTTCTACAATAAATAATGACTTGAGAGTTTCACTTTTTTTCAATTTAAGTTAAAAAAATAAGCTAATTGAAAATTTCCTCTGTATAATAAGATGCCTTTTTTCGCAGAGCACATTATGTTTATGTTATTGCAGCAACTCATACCTGTATGATACGAGTTCATTCCCAACGTTTTGGATATTTTAATCTAGAATCTTGAGTTGCAGTAGCTGTCAAAGCAACCATCAGAGATTTTGTGTATTAATAATGGAATGAAAATAAGTACGAAAAACGTCAGTCACCTTTTGACTCTATGATAAATTGTATTTGCTAACAAGGCCATTGTATTGACCATAGAATTTACGAACTGTTCACAATTTTGACACGGAGTTGCATAATATGGGATTGGTATAGCGAAATATGGAGGCCAATCCATGTCTACAGCCATAGACACAGCTTCCCCGAGCAGTGTACTTGTTCTGACTGGTGATAGTGCTGAAATGTCTGAGTATGAGGATGTACAGGGTTGTGAAAATGTCGTCTGAATTGAGGATTGCGGCGAAGGGGACTTCGTTTGTTGTGAAGTGGATGAAGTCTGCATGGATGTTATATTTCGGATGGGGCCTGTTGAGTTTGGGATGAGGTGCCTGATGATGACCAGAAGATGTTGCTGATGGTGTTAAAGGAGTGAACACTGATGTGGAAGTCTTTTTCTGCTAGACTAGTATTTCATGGGTCTTTAAAATCTGGTTTAACTACATTTACACAAACAGGATTTGCAGAAAGTTCTTCGATAAATATTGATGTCACGGATTTTCATTTTTAAATTGATTTGCCTTTCCGAAGTACTCTCTTCTTGCCCCCTTATGTTTTCTGTCCGCAAACGTTCCTCGGTCTCTTTAATCATATTTATAACGAAATATTAGCTATGTTTAGACATATAATTTATTTTATGCTTCTTTGAAAGAGAGTCGCCTGCAGGGGGCAGTGCTAAGAGCTTCTGCTCTAGAGTCGCCAAGTAAGGAGTCAATCCTGATGGCGAGGGTTCGAATCCCACTGAGGGACGTGAAGACAGGTTTTTCGGATAAGACCGTATAATCCAAGGCCCTGTGTCGCAGTAGGTGCTGCCACGAAAAAGATCCCTCACTGCTCAAAGGCCCCGAGTGCCGAGCATACGACAAAATTTGTAGCCCTCCACCGCCACATGAGTGAAAAATTCTCTAGAGGGACGTTAAACAACATATCATCAATCAAACAATCTTTGAAAGAGAGAAATTGAATTTTGAGTACTAGTACTATGTTACAGGATACGTTACACCAATTCCATAGAAAAAGAGGTTAAAGGATTTGAAAATTATACAAGCATTGACCGTAATTATTATCACTGAAGAATATATTCTTATATTTAAACTAATTAAAAAAAAAATAGTTGCCTGTATATTCGGTCAAACTCCTTAACCGACCCATACTTATTAAAGCGTTTGATTAAAATTTTTTATTTTCATAAAAATATTTATTGTTAAGTTAACCCGTATCAATAAGTAAACATCGAAGAAGGAAAAATACAACTTGAAATACAACTCCAAGCATATACATCTATTTTCAGAAAGTTGCGCTTTTTCGAGTGTTCTTGCATTTTCCGTGTTGAGATTTTTTTTGCCCTTTAGTGCTTATAGTTTTCTAAAATAGCAAGGCATAAGATCAACTTGTATGTACAGCAAAACTCGGTTAGTACGAACACGGATATTGCGAATTTACGGATATAGCGAAGTCATCTTGGATCCCCAGCTATATAGATTTAATGAATTTCTTATACGGTTATAACGAATTACGGATATAGCGAAGTAATTTCATGGGTCCCAGTGACTTCGTTATAACCGAGTTTTGCTGTATTGTAAACATGTGAATACAATTCAATATTATGTAAATATGAAGAGGAATGTTTCATAAAATACTGCAGATTATAACTACTCATAAAAACTTAAAAAAAAAAAGAAACATCATAAAGTGTTAAAAACAGTTTTTACATTGCACAGAAGATAATGTAATTTCATTTGTCTCTTTGGAATAATGACTGGACATGCATCCAGTTAAAGATAAATTAATGAGTTTGGTGTTGGAAGTTGTTAAGGCATATCTCTTATCAAGTGTGTTTTATCTATCTCCAGGGAATAAGGCACAAGAATTAAATATCTCTCTTCTCTTATTCTCTTAATTGTAATTTATTGTCTGTCAAAGCACTTCATAACTGGATGACCAGCTCTTTATTTTCAAAATGCATTTCAAATTGATATATCAATATTAATTTGATTTTGTATAATGTTTTTTTCAACAATCACTTTGGAGAGTGAAATATTAACACATAATTGCAATACATTTTTTTAATGCAGTAATAAAAAAAAATAAAATGAAAAAATTAAAACAAAATGCTACAATGGAATTACAATGTATTAGTTCTGATGTTTCATTTGGTTGCACTTTTGTTTCATTCATTAAGAAACATGATGACCAATTGTATTTCACTGCAAATTTTTGTAAGTAAATTGTGAAAACCTCTAGATCCATAAAGTATTTTTGAACTGGCACCTTCGGGGGGTATTTGTCCCTATTGGACAGTTCAAGTTAAGTTTCCTCGAAGAAAAACTAAGCATCATTTTTGGGGGGTCTTTAGTGTCATATCTAAACCTTCCAAACTGATATCTTTAAAACAGACTCACAGTATATATGTTTGTGCATGTTATCCTCTTCATATTATTGTACCTTTTTCTTAATTAGAAGCTTCAAAGTGGACTCAAGCTGCAGAGAAGTTACTGTTGTCAAGACACAGAGATCGTGAGGAATCAAAGCTTCTCATCAAAAACAAGTGGAAGAAAATTTCAGATGACATGCATTCCAATAATTATGACTTTTCACCAGAACAGTGCAGATTAAAAATCAGGACAATTAAAGAAAAATATGAAAGAAACAAAAAGGAAAAACAATACATCGGGGGAATCCCCTGCTGATTCTGATGATGAGTTGGGGGAAATTTTTGAAAAGTTGCCCGACATGAATCCAGTGTTTCTGATTGAGTCAAAAGCAAGTAAACGTCCATCTCCAGATCAGAGTACTAGTGGAAGTTCAGACGTTGTTAATTGTAAAAAGAAGAGAACTCTGTCTCCAACTCCTGACCATACAGATGCACTTGAAGGTAAGTCTAGCTCTATTGTCCTGCAGTTAAGAAAGGTATTGTAGATTGAAGAACGTATTTTGAAATCGATGACCATTTTTTTTGTATTCAAAACCTTGCTGAGCGTTTTATAGCTGTTTTCATTTAAATACAAATAATAACAAGCATGAAAATTACAAGCTTTTATTCATACCTGTACTGTGTGAAAATGTACAGTGTACTGTATGTATTTTTTCAGGGAAAGGGAAAAAGAAATCAAGAAGATCGGTTGACATGAAAACATTTTTTACAGAAGCTATTGAAAAGAAAGAGGGAGCAATTGAGAGGAGACACAAAGAGAAAATCAACACTATTAATTCCTTGGTCGGGGTTTTGAAAGACCTGGTTAAGAAATAGAACCTCAAAAAGATAATTGACAGATTGTGCCATGTAAATTTGCTAAAACAGATAGTGTTTTATAACTTTTGAATTTGTTCATTAAGTGTTTTTGTTTGCCAATTTTCATACCCCACCTGTCATGTCTGTCTTCTGTCCTTTTTCCTTTCTGTCTCTCACACAGTTTCAAATTAAGTTGTAATGACATTCAGCATATATTTTCCAAAATTTATGAAAAGTACCCAATAGTATTGGTGAGAGTTAAACTATGGAATTATTTTTTACCTTTCCTTTTGGCATGTATTTTTCATCTTACAATACGATGTACTTTGGTAAGCATTCATGCAATGTCAAAATATTTCTCATTCAATTAATTTTGATGACTCAATAGCAGACATGTCAGAGTTGCATTTGCAATTTATCTTATTTTTGTTACAGTGTATTCTTTTATTTTTTTTCTGAATAAATGTTTTGTTATTTTTTCCTGAATAAATAACAAGTCTATAATAACTGTGTGTTTATTGTGCATTGTCAATTATGTGTAAATATGTGCCTTTTGACTGAGCAGAGTTTGAATGTTGAATTTAAAAAAAAAACTCGTTGTCTGGAAGGCAACCTGATCAGCCTGAACGGGGCGAAACAGTTTTAAACATTGAATAAAGTGAATTGTACACTAATGATTATCTTTTATGTTTTATTTAAATAGTTTTGGGGAGACAATCTACAATATTTTCATTATTGAAGGATTGTCTCAAATGCTGTAAGTAATCAGACCTGACTGTAAATTAAATGATAAAAATTCAGACCTAATGCAGAATTGAACTATGGCTATTTAAACTTATGGCTTACTACTTCAAAGTTCGTTATTCACCTGGACATCAGAATATCACAGATGCGATATCTCTTTTGGTGGATAAGACACCTGTTGAAAACTAATTCAAAAGACACAATATGTGAAATTTATTGCAAGGGAGGCAACCCCTCAAGCACTACCGATTCGAGAAGTAGAAGAACCTTCAAGGAGAGATGAACAAGAGGCCCATGGGCCACATCGCTCACCTGAGAAGCTTTGACCATTCTGTTCTTTACCAGATATCCCCCTTGTTACACATGATGCATCCCCACCCTACCCCACTGATCATAATTTAGACATTTTGAAATCTACACTACCCCATGATCCTTCCATTGGCTTATATGTTTCAGCTTTTTTGGCCCAGTGGTTCCTGAGAAGAAGATTTTCAAAGATTTTCCCTATATATTTTGTGTAAAACTTTGATTCCCCTATATTGGCCCCGCCCTTCCCCCGGGGGACATGATTCCTACAATTTAGAATTTACACTACCCAGAATGCTTCCACATAAGCTTCACTTTTTCTGGCCCAGTGGTTCTTGAGAAGAAGATTTTCAAAGATTTTTCCTATATATTTCTATATAAAACTTTGATTCCCCATTGTTGCCCCGCCCTTCCCCCGGGGGTCATTATTTGAACAATTTAGAATCTACATTATACCAGGATGCTTCCACATGAGTTTCAGCTTTTCTGGCCCAGTGGTTCTTGAGAAGAAGATTGTCAAAGATTTCTCCTATATATTTCTATGTAAACTTTGATACCCCATTGTGGCGCCATCCTTCCCCCGGGGGTCATGATTCCTACATTTAGAATCTACACTACCCCAGAATGCTTCCAAACAAAGAATCCTTACAAACAAAGATACATTGCAGGTTCCAGGAAATGTTCAACCAAGCCTCTTTCGTTACTTCTCACTAAAATATTGACAGTAGTGAAGGAAAAACAAGAGTACTGTACAACTATATATTCAAGAAGTGGTGTAAATCAGATGTGGATACTTAAAAATTCTAAAGAACTTTTGGACAATTTGAAATCACAAGACTTTACAAAAATCAACAGCATAAAAACTTCAACGTTTTACACAACAATTCCCCACGACAAATTAAAATCTAGGCTTTTTGATATCATTGATAGCTGCTTCTTCAACAAAAATGGAACTCGTAGGTTTACTTAATCGTCATTGGTCATTTGAAAAATTATTTTGTTAAAACAGATTCTGATTGCACACATAGGTACTCTGAAGTTGACATCAAGAAGATGCTTCAATGGGTTTCTGATTGATAATATCTATGCGGTTTTTGGAAAGCAGGTCTTCTCACAATCTATTGGAATTCCCATGGATACAAATTGCACCCCGTTATTAGCAGACTTATTTTTATATTCATATGAAACACAATTTATGCAAAATCTTTTGCGTGAAAAGAAGAAAACACTAGCTGTGGCCTTCAACTCGACATTTAGATATATCGACGACGTATTGTCAATTAATAATGATAATTTCAATTCCTACGTCGACACGATATATCCTGGTGAGCTTGAGATAATAGATACAACAGAGTCTGACACTTCTGCTTTATACTTGGATATTTTACTTGAAAAAGACACTAATGGTAATTTAACAACCAAGCTATATGATAAACGTGATGACTTTAACTTTTGTATCGTCAACTTCCCTTACTTATGCAGCAATATACCTTCATCACCTGCATACGGAGTATTTATATCTCAGTTGATTCGATACGCAAGAGCATGCTCTACGTATGAACAATCTCTTAAATGAGGTAAATCATTGACACGCGAGTTGATGAAACAAGAATATCAACAGTCTGATGTTTCGGAGGTGCGTGTTTGCTGCTCTTATTTTGTATATTTGTTTAATGGACGTTGAGATTGAATACTGTTCGTTATTTCCATATCCTTCCTTCATAAATATATATTATTATAACAGTAACTTGATCCGAAGGGTCGTATCACGTCGAGTTGACAGGCGCGGATCATCAGATCTAAACGACACGAAGCGTCGAGTTTGATCTGATGATCCGCGCCTGTCAACGAGACGTGATACGGCTCTTCGGATCAAGTTACAGTTATAATGATAAATTTATTATATACCCTCTTACAACTAGCTAAATATTTTAAAATAAACCTTTAGAGATAAATTGGATAATAATAATCCATTAAACAAAGCATAATAACAAGGGACTTTTTAACGCGCAGGAAAAATAACGTCATATTTCTGTGTACTACGTCATCAGTTTCAGAGAGTGGTGATATGGATTCAGAAAACAACATGTTGGTGATCCGGAAAATCGGATCACGACGTCACGTGATAGCCTAAATTCAACAGTAAAATTGAGTGATACACATTAGGTATATAATAAAGATGATTATGATTCCAGTTTCTATTTTAGAAGATGAGAGGTGTGATACACCCTGTGATCCTGACCGTCTGCCCCCCGCCCAGCCCAGACATTGAGCTAGCCATGTCATGGCGACAGAGCTCTGTCCAGCCTACCACATCTGATGATGGAAGACTGCAGGAGCCAGATGAGTGCATGCTGGAAGATGGAGGTATGGAGCACAGGCTTACAGAGTCGCCTTCACCACTGTCTCCAGTCTCCAGTGGTATGTTGCCAAAATGTGTTTCCAAATTGCCCATTACATCAAACTTAAATTAGAAATAAATAAATTAGACAGATAAAAATTAGTTGAGACCCCATTATCTTGAAGTGTCATTCTCTTTGGATACTGATTCAAGTATTCATGCTATCCGTATATTTATCGCAAGGATAGGACAACCTTTTTTTATTCGATCAGAAAATGACACACATTTAGTGGGTGTAGAGAGGGAATTAAGAGATTTCAAGGCATGAAAAGTTGACCAAATTCATTCTCACTTGTTGAAGTCAGGGAGAGATTGGACATTTAACCCATCATCAGCCTCACATTTTGGAGGCGTCTGAGAACGACAAGTCAGATGTGTGCGAAAGGTTATATATGTATTTTCTGTCTTACATGAACAAACTATTCATCTGCACGAGGCGATTCTCATGCAAGACCTTTGACACCTACATCGGGTAATCCCAGTGATCTAAGCGCTTTGACACCAAACCATCTGTTACTTCTTAGATCTGGAGAAAGTTGCCCACCTGAATTCTTTTCAAAGACGGATAACTACTATCGGCATAGATGGCACCAAATTCCAATATCTTGCAGACATTTTTTGAAAAAGATGGATAAAGGAGTATCTACCCCTTCTTCAGGGCTGACAGAAGTGGTAAAAGGAGGGACGCATTGTTAAAACAGGTGAGCTGGTTCTTATCGTTGAGAATGCCCAAGGAATTACTGGAATCTCCGACGTATACTTGAGGTTGAAGAGGCGAATATGATAGTGTGCGTGTTGTGAAAGTGAAAACTGTGTCCAATATTCCAACGCGTCCAATAACGAAACTGTGTTAGGTGTTGGAGTCAGATGACAAAAACTAAATTGTTTGACATGTTTAAAAGACGTTAATTGCTCATTAGAAAATCTGTAAAATATTTACTAGGTCGGACCATATTTTAGGGGCGGTGTAAGATTGAGTTTGTATTATTATCAAAATTTATCCGGATTCATATTTTTTAACACAAATCGAACACAAAACAACCGAGATGGGAAAACCTGCGATGTCGTCCAAACCAGTAACTACCATGTGACTGAAGCAAACATTGACATGTCTATCGAACACAAAACAACCGAGATGGGAAAACCTGAGATGTCGTCCAAACCAGTAACTACCATAACATCTGTGACAGGAGCAAACACTGACATGTCCGTTGAACGCAAGATAACCGAGACGGGAAAATCTGCACGATCTATCAAACCAAGGACTAAAGAGGAAAAATACTACACTCTCCTCTAATCCTATTGCTGTCAGATTTAGCGATGTAGCAACTGTTATTAATCTGATTGCTTATATAATTTTAACTGTTAGTTGTTTAACATTAATATTGTTATTATTTTTTAATAGGAAACATTTTAATGCTTGCAAAAGAAATAAATACATTTCAAAACCAAAAAATGTACAACAGTATAACCTTAAACGTATTTCGAAATAATAAAAAAATTGATGACGATGTAACTCTCTATTTGATGTTTAAAGTTAAATATTATTTTATATTACAGCATGGATTGATTATACATTTTGCTTTTTTTAAAAAAAAAATAGGACTCTTAATTTGGGCTATTGCAGTGACAAGTGCTGTCTTAATCTTTGTCTTAAGAAAGATGTTCAAGATATTGAAATGCTGCTGCCCTATG